TGTGTGTGTGTGTGTGTGTATGTGGTGGGTGGGTGGGCGTGTTTGTGTGTGTGTAGACATATATGTATATATATATATATATATAAACATGCATACATATATACATGTACATTTATATAATCCTCAACGGGACGTCCCGTGTACTTACCACTTAGAATATCATAAGCGCCCTGCAGTTCCTTGAATATTTTGGTATACAGTTCCTGTTCATCCGGGTGCTTGTCAGGATGGTTCTTTCTGGCGAGAGATCTATATGCGAGTTTAAGCTGTTTTTCATCAGCGTTGCGATCAACGCCAAGTACCTCATAGTGACACCTCATATTGACATATACCGCTCTTGTACTTCAGAAGTTGGTATACTAGCCCATTACCGCGAGCAGTGTGTGTTGTATTTGAATAGAATAGATACAAACCTTTAGAAACTCGGTTATGTACATATGTAAAATACGCTTTTATAATATCATGACACGTGTGGCTGTCATCATTATTTTTTTAAAGATTTATAACAAGCGAATCTAGATCCTTTTTCAAAACAAAACAATACACTGTGGTTGAGGAGTGACTGAGTGACTGGGTCTGTGGGGTGCTTTTTTCAAAACAAAAAAACAGAACAACAAACACATAAGTATTTATTTACAAAATATAAAAATATTTTTGTAAAGTCAAGTGTCAGCTCAGCGTATATTTATGTTGAACGTAAACGTATAAAGTTTAGATCTTTAGACGTTATACTGTATCAGTAGGATGAAAGGGTCTGCATGCGTATGGCTGCAAGCGAAGTATTTACTATGAGGCGATTGTGGGAATGAAGATCATGCTGTGTACAATAGACCTATTTGTATTTGTGTGATGGCATACATATACCAATAACCCACTTCTAAGCAATGCACTAGAGATATCGCCACTTGTAGAGAAAGTACTTTATCAGCCTTCATACTAGATAGATACTTCACCCACACTTACGAGCCTAGTTATCAACTGTTTATGCAATCAACAATTAAATGTGCGACGGCATTAGCACCCATCGTCGGGCTTTATCGTATCCCGAAGGCTCACGAAAGCTGAGATTATTGAGGAACAGTTCGTAGTGATCTGTGTGCTCCGGAATATTCACGTGCGATGACTTAATGAAGTAAATAGTTGTATTCTTAATCTAATGCGTACCGACACTAATACGCATTATGTAGAAGGTCTTATTCGGGAATGCAGTAGAGGTAGGAAAATAGGAAGAGATACGTTTGCCTGCAAGGAGGGTAGGAAAATAGGAAGATATCCGTTTGCCTGCAAGGAGGGACGCGAATATTTAAGTAGTCGAGGCACAAGCGGCTGTAAGGCCGAGCAAAGGTTAAACCAGCACTCTGATCGGTGGTTCATAATATGCTTTTGGCAAAACTATAGGCGAACAAGTACTAGACATACAGCACCTGTATGCACAAAATTGTATTCCATTGATTAAAGCTTCAAATCACGGTACATTTATATTTTTATCTAATTATCTTCAGCATATCTGACCTACCCAGTATATCCGACCAACAAGAGAGTGCAGCAACCCACACACGAGGTACACGTGCCCTATACAATAGTGGCAAGCCTGAGCCAACTGCTGGTGTTGCCTGCACTCTCGCGCGATGTCGGATGCTCTACTGTAGATATCTGGCCAACCTGACACGTGGACATCTAAACAGTAAACTCAAATATACATACATACATATACATATACACACATATATACACACATATATATATATA